CTCCCTTCACAACCCTAGAGCATCCATACCTTGAATATTTCAGTTTAGTTTGCCAGACATATCCACACGCTCTACGGTTTCTCTCTTCTTGTCAAGAGTAATCAACAAATTTCACTTTGATGGATTGCCTAATCCACTCCCTCCCGATTCAGGAATCCTACCAGAAGACATTAAGCCCGTACCTGGAACTCATCTTTGTTAGACAAAAGTTCTTGGGAGGAATTCTAGTATCTCTCTGTCACCATAACGGCTTGCGTTCGTGAAGGAAGAAAATCACCTGGTGCGAGACATATAAAAGCAGCAATTCTGAGGACACATTCCGTGCCAAACTAGTGGTTTTGCAGAAGACGTTTCAATAGAGCATGCAAGCCTCACAAACAAAAACGTAAGTGGCCGTTTACCAGATTTCGACGAGCAGGGACATTTGTCTGAAAAAAGATGAAAGCTTGACAGCCACAATAATGGGCATTCCACTACCTTCCCTGAGAATGCAGTTGACACGGAAATTGTCTGAACGGATTTCCATGAATTGATGAACATAGCGATATTGAACCCATCCAAATTTTATCGAGTTGCTTCAAAAAAATGCACCACGGCCGCTCCTGCAGAAGATGAGCNNNGAGTGGACTTCTGGGATTCTGCAGGAGTATCACCAAAAGAACTAGTCAGTAGCTTAATATGAAAGGCTTCCTTTCATATTAAGCTACTGGCTTTTCTCATTGAGGGCGTGCTTTAATCAACTTTGTATGGAACAAATGGGAGAGGAACAGAGACAAAAGAAAAATAAAAAGGAGAGCGAACTAGCGAAACACAAACGCCCCCTACAGACAAAAATGAAGTAAGTGGAAATTCAGGGGAATTTCGTGGAGGAGTACAAATCCAATAGAGGGTCATCGTCCCTGGTAAAAGTTCAAAAAATTGCTTAAGTTTGATGAAATTCAGCCCAAAATCGCGACATTTTTTATGTTCCAACCCTATTCAATACAGCTCTTCCGAAGCATGTACTGGGCTGCATCAGATTCAAGCAACAACCCAACGATTTCCCCATGAATTCAACGTTCATAACGTTGTCCCACGGTCTCCAGAGGTACCTAAGTGGTGAAGGGGAGTTGGTGGGATGGCTATGGTGAGTTTCCCCTCCTAGCCTCCTAGATAGGTGCATAGCTGACGTCATCGTGGGAGAGGCAACAGGCTCTTCGCAACGCTCTCGGCTTGGACATTACTACTCGAAGGGAAGATGAGGAGCCTTGCCTAGTTTTTCATCAAAGTGATCATCCTAGAAAAGTGGACCCACAAAAGCGACTGCTTCATAGTAAAAGGGAAAGGAATTTATATAATATCAGCGTTTTTTTCGTTTGAATTCATTTAAAAATCAAACGTCGAACATTTTGACAGTAGGACTTACGATTGGGTTTTTTGGAGCTCCTAATACTTGTAGATAAGTAATAAATAAGCAAAACCAGAAGTATTGTGGCAGGACGTGAAACAAACAGAAATTAAAAGTGGGAGTAGTCAACCATCACATGCAATTTCGTTTGAAGAGCTAGTGACTCACAACAGAAATGAATGATGACTCAAATAAAAGAAATGCAATAAATAATGACGAAATTCGCAATTTCATAACCAGTCTACAGACAATGAATAATCCCTTGAGAGCTGGTACAAAATGAATTATACGGTCAGGGTTTTCGAAGAATTCCTGACCCTCCCCTTCAATGGCAGGCCACTGAGCACCTGTACTTCACTTTGCTACCTACAAACCGCATTCTGCTATCGCCGAATGTGGGAATGTGGCTTCCATTGAAAATCAGGGCTGATAAGGGGTCTTATAAAACAGCAACAATAAAACGCATGTACTAAAAATAGAGACAGAAAGGCAGTGAAGGACGAAGCTAACTCGAAAGGCCTTCTTACAAAGGTCCTGGTGCTTCATATCGAGTAAGTTGGTAAGAAAAGAACCTGTTGTAATGGAAAGGTTCAGAATTCCCGATAGGGAGAAATAGGCCGACAGCGAGGGGCATCTATTGAATGACATGCAGGGGAGGTGCACGTGTCTGCAGGAAAACAACGAGTGCGAATGCAGTGCATTTAAATGAGCAGAATAGAAAAAACGCGGAGCGTAATCAACGGCATCGGCGAGGTTCGTTACACTGCCGAGAGGCGTCTAACAAACAAACAAAACACCCAGTGTGAGAGATAGAAATCAAGGCTACTGGGACCAGTTGTTACCCCCCCCCCCCCCCCTCCTCTTCGTTATGTCTGGAAAATCTGAAAAAAAAGATTGACAGCTGTGCCAGAGGGTTAGATGTCTGAGTTAAATCTAAATGGCATCAGTGACAGCTTGACAGACGAACTAGTGGATCATGCAGATTAGCTCGCTGAATCGCAAGCAAACTTCTACCCAGCTATGGGAGTTAGGGGAAGTTGGACTACCAACAGGCCATTAGATGAAGAGATTTGAATAATTTAGTAAGAGAGGGAAGAGCGTACTCGAAAGAGCTGCCCCGTAGGCCTCGCCAGCTGGGAAACGCCTAAATTGCCTTCTAGTCCTACTAAACAAATAAAAATCTCATAACAGAGCAAACAGTGCCCCTGAAAACACTCTGTCCTCAAAGTTCGGTTCTCAGAGGGGCGAAATAGGCACGGCAGAAGCGCGTAGTGGCTGATGACAAGTGAAAATGTTCAATGGGGAAATGAATTTTTTGAAAGGTTGCCCATGTAATCAGGAGGGCAGAAGGAAGTCTTGTGAGCAGTCCATGGTGAATGGAAGTTTTGGTTGATCTGTGTAGATAATCGATCCAGGATTCGATCCTTCAGCCATGCGTGTGCGATAGTCAGTCACCAGCCGCTACACCACCTACACATAATTATAAAGAATAGTGTAGTAACAATAATATTAGCGATAATAACACTAAATAGTAGTACTAACTGCAAGATTTCGTGCTTGGATCAGATTTTAAACCAGGTATGTCTATGAATATTGAAGCCAAAAATAAGAAAAAAACTGAATGATGGAAGAAAGTGAAGTGTCTCGGCTGCATATCATAGCAACCAAGGAGGAGATGAACTTTTTTCGAAATGGAACTATCACGAGAATAAAACCTTGGGCGACGTTTGTTATGCCCATGCTGTTTTCCCCTCAACCTGACGCTCCCCATTGAAAACAGAGATAACTGGAAAGGTGACGTTGAGTACCGATCGTTGGTCGTTAAGGAGCAGTTATAACCTTTGAGAGAACAGGTTATGTTTCCTGAAAATTGTCCCAACTCGTTCAAAAAATATATCGCTGAGAAAAGCTACAGAAAATGCAAAGGACCCTCTAAAATCCACTGTAATGATTCTTTAGTAGGCATTATGTTGTAGTAACTATTTGTAGTGGTATCGCTCATTCTCTAACAGGCTCGTTTGTCCTGGCTCCCCTCCCTTACCCATCCCAAACAGGCGGTGAAAGTGATATGCAGTGGCAACAGTGCGCTCCCGAAATGGGTGAGACTCTTCTCGTTTTGAATGAACTTTCACGTCACTCGCTCAAACGAATAAGAAAAAATAAGATACAATTCCATTTAAACATAAAAAAGTCAGTAAATTTGCAAACCCTAAATCTATCGAGCATAGTAGACCTATCACTCATGCATGAGCACGTCTGGAGAACAGACGGAAAGTATAAACGAATTTCAACAAAGTATAGCAGAAGTTGTGTTCTTTTCTCCAAATCACCGACATATCAAAGGGTGAACGTAGTCTCAAAAGATGGCAAATTATGAGCAAGACATCATCATTGGGTGAGACTCGAGCTCGCACTTAGTCTAGTTTCTCGGTGTTTATCCGTTTTACCATTTCCACTTGCTTGCTCTTAACTTCGTTGCGGTTTCCACAGCAGCTAAGCAATCCTTAAAGGCACATTTGCCAATAATTTTGAGGTACCCGTGTTTATTCGAAAAGTGGAAGTGTTGACTGGGAACAGTTCATCGGTAGCGAAGGAAGCGAGAAAATTTGCCGATTCCAGAGAAATATGGCTCCTCAAAAGTAGGGAAAATGGAAGTTGGACGAGTTGCTATGACGGAAAATACATGGAAGGGGTATTCGGACGAGGTTTCAGTAATTGCAGTTGCACAAATAGCTGACCACATCAGACAGAAGCTGTAAAGAACTGGCTTTCACTGTCGCTATGGGACATGATAAGTTGTTTGAACTCCCTACATGGGTTCCCTTGTGATCGGTGCAGCCTCTACAATGCCGGTGAAACTTGTCCGAGGATACACACGAGCCAATCTTTAAGCCTCTATACTTGCTGAGTGGCCGTTTTCGACCTAATAGTGCCAGATATGGTGTACACGAGGGCCTCAAATTCTTCCTCGTGGATTCTTGGGGGAATCTTAGAAACCATTTTCATCGTGAACTGTGCCTTTACAACCGACTTGTAACTGCGCCACTTACCTCCGCCTCACGTATCAGGAGACGGGCCAGTCGTATCGGTCAGGATGAGTGACTTTGTTGTGATTCAGCTTTGTTCATTAGCTCACTGAAGGTACTTTCAGACAGTTTGACCATTCGTGTGCCCTCTGGTATAATGATGAAGAGAGGACGACTCACATCTCTAAGAACATAATCTGAATAAGCAGCTGTCATATGAAGAATTCTAGCAGGAATTGGTACACTTGGGAAATTTTGAGTTACTAGAAGACAGAACATAACTCTTGACGGATTTGTGTCATTGAAAAGATCCTTCTCACAATTTCTCAAAGTCTCACAATTTCTCAAAGCCTATTCGAACATTGCTTCCATCGGAGAGGTCAGGACCTGCACTGAAGCATATACTTGATCAATTTGAATGATTTCAAGAACCGACTCTGTCAAGTAAATTCTTTTCCGTTAACCTGAAAAAGAACTCTCCTCCAGATGCTTTACAATTACTCGAGAAATTTGTGTTGCCATGAATCTTTCTGATCACCCTTGACGGATGCACCCAAACGTTCCTACTCCCTTTACCAATATTCAAAATGTGTTTCGAACCAGCACCAAGCTTCACTCAGGTACATTCAAGTTCGGTGCGTGAACTCCGAGATGACTTCTCGAGGTACAAACCCGTTGTTCTTCGTTGGCCGAAACGACGAAATGATCAGATAACCTATGCGATCCCGGGTTTCTCGTATGACATACCCTATATTCACCTTCAAGTGGCCAGTTTTCTAACGGTTCGGCGATAACCGGCCTTTCTTTTTTTCTTTCAATGAGCACTTTTAATTTTATATTTTCCTCGATTTAATTACATTATTAATGTTCTCAATTTTGCTTCAAGGTTTGTTTAGCAATGCCCTTCCTTTGCTTTCCTTTTCTGTTTTGATGATTATTAATTCATGAGTACTATCGAAGGTGATGGTTTGTGATAGCTTAGGAGTTCAAAGGAAATTTTTGGGGTAAAAGAGCCTACCCATATCTAACAGGAACTAGGAGCATCCAGAGTTTCTTCTGGTGTCACTTTTGGTATCCTCAACCTTTCGTTCGACGTTCAGACTGTTGCACCATTACTTTCTATCAATCTTGAGAAATTTTTGAGGCACGACATAATCAACACCGATTTTTAATTGTTTGGAAAGGATATAGTAGTTGAATAGACTAGACCTGTCATAAAAAGCTTTAAAACGAAACATGATGACTGAACGTTGAGTAAGAAATCATTGAACTTCGATTTCCCCTATTCCAGTGTTTCAGCGTAATCTTCCAAAATGCGGCTTAATACGCCTGCCTTTGCTCGCCAACTGTTGATGGGCCTCCTGTACTCGATTGTGTTCCTCCTCGCTCTGTACATGTATTTTCAAGCAAGCACGGTAAGCTCATTACGGAGGTGTTCTGCGAACTTTCCACTTCTGTTTCTTTCTGGCTTGCAAAAAAAGCTCTATAAAAAATGAACCCTCAATCAGTGATTCGTGAAGAAGAACAAGTAAATTTCATCTGCTAAGATCTTGTTAGAAATAGTGCGTTTGAGTTGTTTTCCCGCTCATGTGGTGACGGATCCACGCCAGCCGAAAATTTACCCCTTTTTCCTGGAATTGATGAGAAAATCTCCTTCTTGATGACACTCCAGGCCGATTGGCATTTCTCAGGCTGAGCCGTGCGCTCTATCTTGACCGCTTTGACCAAGGAGTTGCATTTCTCGTTTCAGGACAAGTCAAACTTCTTCAAAACGTCTCGTGAATGTCTTCTATCCAATGTGGATGTGAACTCAGACCTCGAAAAGGTGAGCTACTCTTACAACTACTGCCCGTTACAGCTTCGTCATCTGTGATGGGCAATTCCCGATACTCTATATGCCAATTTCTGTTTGCCTATGGCGATTTTATTTATGGAATTGAGCTTTCGAAGAATTGGACAGATCCACTCAAAGTGGGCTGAGAGCGCACTAAAGTAACTGAAACCTCTTGGTCCTTCGATATATTGAGCTTTCGAAGAATTGGACAGATCCACTCAAAGTGGGCTGAGAGCGCACTAAAGTAACTGAAACCTCTTGGTCCTTCGATATGGAGAGTGAAGTATTAGGGCAAGCAGAACGTCAAGGCAGTAGGGCAGGCAGGCACCAACCGAAAACCACATAATTCAGATTTCTCTGGGTTATTCTGGAAGGTCTTGCAGAAAAAATGTATTATAAGGACACTGCCACTTGTATGGGCATAACATATCCGGGTCGTTGTAGGATATCGCTGTACAACCGGAACCAGACTCATTTCACGAGTTTCTTGGTTTCTGTTTTGAAGCGTTGGGATCATAGGTGTACACATTTCTCAAAAGGAGTTTCATGGCTGAATACTTGACGTAGGCTCCAACTGAGGAGTGGCCGGTATCAAAATTGTAGAGGTTCATGTGACGACGTGACAGTTACCTCATTAGAGGATAAACGGATCTAGAAAAAAGGGGCCAGATTTGTCATGCGCATCCAATGGGCAATGTCCTCATTCAGGATCCATATGCAAGCTTCCAGAAAATTCCAGAAAACAACTGAACTGATGGCGGACTTTGCCGTGGCCCTAATACATTACTTGAATCGAGCGGAGTTGAGATAATTTCACCATCAGTAGCTTTCAATGCAATCTCTTACTTCAGCAATGGAGCTACTTCCCATACTATGTGAACAAATGTGCACCACAGAATCGTCTGATGGTGCAAGGTTTTTCGAATACCGACGAGCTCAAGTACCATGTACTGCCTACAAACGACGTAAGTGCCTGTGCCGTATACCTATGTGAAGACTGCAATACCGTGTTTTAGGTGCCGAACATGGGGTGCGGATCCTGTCAACGAGACCAATGCTGATATTTTTCCTGAGGTGAGTGTTAGCAGTGAAGTTTCTCCGTCATATCCAAACTGTAAATAGTTGCTGACTTACGATCCGTTTCAGGTCGGAAAGTTCTACAACATTGCCGTCGGCGCTGAAAACGGTACCTTCAGATCATACGTGTTGGAAGGTTAGTTTTCTTGCATAGTGCCGGAAAAAAACTCAGGGGTAGCAGTCACTGATGGAAGGATATGAGTTCAAATAGACTGTAGCAGGCTTAGGCTCAGTAAGTACACGAATGAGACTCCGCCTGTGAAGAAACATGTCCCACTGAAGGAACTCCCATTATGAGGAATCGTTCAGTGGGACATGCATGAGCAGTTCCTTAAGAGAGCCGTCACATTGCGCTTCACTACGTGTCTCACGGAAAGATACACCTTCCCGTTCTTTGGTTCGTTCGTTCACTTCTTTAGTCATTTCTCCATCAGAGCAGCGTCTGAGCACACCAATAGCTCCTCAGTTCCCAGTTGCCCTGCCATTCAAACCAAGAATGAGGTGATGATGGAGTTAGTGTTGGGATGTTATGCCGTTCTGACTCGGCAACTCCCGATTTTCCTTGCACTGATTTCTAATTGGAGCCACACGCTGCTAAGAAACCATGTGCTTCAAAATAAAGTCCACTTTTATTTACCTGGATCCTGGTGGCTGTGTACAGGTAGCGCAACTACCTGACATCAAGCAGTGTGGGAACTTCATGCCCTGAATTCCGAATAGCATGAATGGTCGTGAATCCGCCGAGACACATCTCCATTCCCCTAATTTCACTTGATCACTGTGCAAAAAGCTCCTCAGCTCTGATTCCATCTACTTCCTCAGTGTCGCACATTTGGAGGAAGGAGAGTGGTATCTCACCCACATGACACTTCACCGAAGGCAATTATGGAACTTGAATCTCTTTGGACATCATAAATATTTGTTTACTTATTCACAAATATGCAGCACTACTCAAAATTTCAGACATTTATCGATACCAGGAGGTGAAATATGTCGATATCGCCACTTTCTTACGGAACTATGTAAAAAGACCAGTTATCGACCAGCTCATGATTGATATCGAACATGCTGAATATCCAATGTTACCGTTCCTACTAATGGACGGGCAATTGGCACGTGATAAAATCTTGATTTGCCAGGTGTGTTCGGGAGTTTGGGATTTACCCAGGTTTCAACTCCACTGACCGGCAGCGTACCTTCAGATGAACATCGAAGTACATCGGCCGAATCCAGAACAACTAAAGCAGTTTTTCGATTTCTTCCAGCAATTAATGAAAGAAAAGCAATGGACTCTGATGAGCGCATCAAGCATAATTGGACATCTGAGGTAAGCCTGACATTACTGAAAACTCTAAGACGACAGGTGCTTCAACGAGTTTATACTTTGCGACACTATCGCCAACCCAGTAGCAATCGATTTCGTAATCAGCTTGCCTCTTCAACTGAAGCAAGATCGAAGTAGAATGTTAATGCTTATGGTACCATACCCTTTGGAGTGCACCATGACCGAATGGACTTTTTTCTACCTCTCCTTCTTGGTGACACAGTCCAATCCTTTCACAAGCCGTCTACCCGCCTATGGGTTAATACTCTCAGTTCTCTTCTCTGGCAATAAGCCACCTCTTGTAATCGTCATAATGATGTCGATGGCTGTCCTCCCAAAAGTGCAAAAAGTTTAGAGAGTAATAGAGAGCATTAGCAGAATCACGTGATGGTATCGGCCTAGCCAAGGGAAGAAGTCTTCCCACAATGCAGATTTTCGCTCTCCTGGTAGAGAACTCACTTTGAATTTTTCCGTGCAACTGTCCTAACCAACTTCCATCCTCGCTTTACGCTGAAAACACGAAATCAAACACACAGCATCAGATTTTTTACAGTCTTTCATCTTACCAGATTATACTAAATCAAACCTTGATGTACAGCTGAACATCGACTACTTCTTTGAGGACATAATTTCAGAAAACCAACTTTACAATGATCTCATAGGGTTTTTGTTCAGGCTTTTCATGATCAACCATGGCAGCGAGGAATGTCACAAGCGATACATCGGTGCACTCTATCAACGGGACGATCTTGACGTTACAGATCCAAAAACATAAACTTGAAAATATTTAAATAAATATTATTATTTAGGGGGTTACCTATGTGAATGGGGACTATCTTCGTCTCAGTTGTCAAGGCACCCTTGCGGTAACAAAGCGGAAGTCTCAAAGTAGTATTGGGCATCGAAAGCGCCTCAAGAAAATGCGAGAAACAACAAAATTTGCGAAATGAAGATTTTTGAAAAAAAGTGAAATTAGGACGTTGTACGAGATTGCCAGTGGTGTGGACCAAATGTTTGTACGAGAATTCGGACTAGTGCAATTGCACAAAGAGTTTGTTACACTATGCCACAGACGCCTAAAATCGTCGTATTCGTCAAGAGCTCTAACAAATCAAACTAATTTTTTTATTTGAAGGATCTAGAGAATAGATTATCAGGTTATATGGGTATGGAAACATCGTAGAATAAAATAATTGGTCAGGCCAGATAATCAGCTGTTGAATTATCAACATATATGCCTCGTCGTGAATGGTGCAGCTCCCAAATTACTGTTAAAAATCGTCCGTGTATGGGTGAGAAAGTTCGTCTTTGAGCCCTTATCAGGCACAATCCAAAGGTTTTTCGACCTGACACCGCTCTAGATGGTAGATTCGGAGCCTTAGTTTTGCTCCGGTTGCATATCTCGGAAACTAGCTTTATCGTGGACCGTGTCTCTAAAGATCCAGGACATGGCGAAACACTCCCACCCTCAGATATCACGTATATGATGTTCGGTCGCAAGTGCGGATTTGATAACAAATAAAGAAGTATCATGTGAAACAAGGAATCCAGAAATGATCTATGTAGGCTGTTCCTTTCAAAATGTTTATTCCTTTTTAATCATTACATTGGGACCATCCCGATGGGGTTAACTCAAATCAGTATGCTTCAATTACAAATTTTAGCACTATTGTCAGAAAAGTGTTTGTAGAAGCTGCTTTGGGATGCGCCATGTCCTCAACCAGGCAGCAGACTTTTGATGAGCGTATAACCTCTCGATTTTCCCCCTTCAGATGCTTACTAATTGTTATTTCTTTTTTGGAAGTCATCAGTCTTCTGCAATGCTGAGCGTCTCCCATTGCGCTAACTGCAATCAATTTTCCTTTCAAGACTGAATCATCGCACTCTACAGTAGCAGCGGGATTGACAATGAATTAGAAAAAGCGGAAGATTTCTCACTGATTTCTCACTCGTCTTTGTGATTCAGTCAGTTTTTTTCTATTATAGATTGAATCAATTTTCCTTTGCGAAAACTATTACTGTGAATCATTTCAGAACCATAACCCTTCGTCCTCGTCTCATTTCTTTATAGCCGAATGATTATTTTGCTTCAGCAACAGGATGTCGTGGGACAAAGCGAGGTTTATCAGATCTTGCTCCGTGTGGTTAAAAGCACATCTCTCGATGATTTTGAGTTTTTATTCAAAAGCGTATAGGTTAGGAATAGTTCAACGGTTTTGAAGAAACGAAAAAATTCGCTGATTTTGAGAAAAATATGGCTTCTGAAAAGAAGGGAAAATAGACGTTAGACGAGATTACCATGACGGAAATAACATGGAAAGGGTATTCGGACGAGAACCCAGTTGTTGCAATTTCCAAAGAGCTGACTACATCAAGTCGGAACTGTACAGAACTGTCATTCGCTGTCGTTATGGGTCATGACAAGTTGTTTGAACTTTCTACATGGGTTCCCTTGTGATTGATGCAGCCTCTAAAATGCCGGTGGAACTCGTCCTAGGATACACACGGGACAATTTTTGTGCCCTTATGAATCCCTAACTGGGCCGTTTTCCAACCTAATAGCGCCAGATATAGTATTGAAGGGGATATTGAATTCATCCCATGGGGAAATCTCATAAACCATTTTTATCGTGAACTGTGCCTTTAACCAGAAGTTTTTATGTACAGGATGTGTACAAAGTCCCGTAAGGCTATGAAGTAATAGTATAATATTATAAACAGTAATAGCATCATGATTGTCATAATCCCTAATTTATATTTCCTTATGGTATTAGAGTGTTCAAACAAGACTACGAGATTTTTCAATCTCATTGGGTGACGAGACCTCCCCCCACCCCACCCCTCCCCCAAAACATGATGCATAGATAACCAAGTTCTCGATCTCCGCTTATCGCTAGTCCGCCTGCATAAAGACCACGTTTTCTCTATTGTCTCATGTTTACGTGATGAGCCCTAAAACAGCGCCGCACCCCCCCTCCCCCTCCGTGCAGCTGAGCAAATTCTAACGCTCAACCTCTCTCCACGTGTACTAGGCTCTACGCCATAAGCCACAAAAGTTTGAAAGTTTGACCCTCTAGAGGGACCCGAGAGGGAGTAGAGATGAGCGGGGAGGGGAAGAGCGTTGGAAGGCATTCAAAATACCGGTAGCATTTTGAAAAACTAACAACTCGGTCTCAATACAATTTCAACGAGGAAAGTAGAAATTTATTCCATATAGGCAATAAAAAAGGACATAATAACAAGTATGGTCGTTATACCGGACTATCATCAAGCGGACTGAATTATATGTAATTAATGATAAGAGAAGATAATAGTTACTCATTATGATGACGCTAAACAATTGAAAATTTCACCTGATCTGTTTAATAAGGGGTTAGAGGACCCTTCTACAAAAGTACTCACCCAGCAAATACTATGTTCACAGATCCTCACAGTATTTGTTCTTCAATTCCACGTCCCTTTCCACGATTTTTCAGTAGAGTCAGCATTAGTCATTGTTTGCAGTTCAGACACAACTGATGCCGTTATCGCCCATCTACATATGTCTATTGATAAACACCGATAGCATTTTTCGTTGTCGCTTCATAAGATCACGTTTTTCTCCTCCATCTCTAACATTCGAGGCGGATCCTCACGTAGAATCACCTTCGCATAAATCTGATGGTCTCTCTGTACTGGAACCCTTTCCAGACACCCTCAGCCTCAGTAGTTATCCCAATATGTCCCTTGTCGCAATGAGTCTTGCCTACAAAACTGCGAGGAAAGCCTGAGGTACCTTTCTCATGAGGCTTCCGTAGGAAAAAGTTTCGTAATACCTCAGCTAAAGTCTGTATTTACTGCACTCTGTGTACTGTTGACATTCACTACTTGTTTTTTTTGTATTTCGATGCATTTTCTATTTATTTACTTTCTTAATTTGTGGAGGTGTGACGGTCAACTTTTGGCTATGATCCGTACACAGCTTCGATAGATGTGTTCGAGATGTAATCACAATGTGCCGCGACGAAAACGGTGAGTGAGGCCTGAATAAATAAACACTTCGAAATCAAATCTAAGCGATTTGATTAGCAAGAGCTCAAGTGCGTTCGGACCTTTCAACAACAACTCACAAGTCGATGTTATCGGTGTTAGCTGGCCTAAGTCCCATGGGCTGCGCTGCGCTTAATTTCCTAAAAAAANNNAAAAAAAAATGTTCCGAAGGGTTAGAAGATTTCGAATTCGGCGTGCGACTATTACAGTTCGCTCTTTTTCATTCTCTGAATGGCTTTCTCCATGACGTACATTTGTTATCAAAGAACTTGATATCTGCATGTCTTGTTAGATTCGCTTCACCCCCTCTTGCCATTTTCTACTTGCTATCGTCTTAGTGCTCACATTTATCTACAAAAATTGCTAAAGGAACTCAGAATACCGAAAAGGACTGACGGTTCAGTTCCGTCATCCACAACGAGTTTTTATTCCGGTGCATCCGTAAAACAGCACAACGTCATGCACCTTCACGATTACGCGGTTCCCCAGATTCGCGACGCGAGCGCGAAGTCTAAACGCAGCCTCACTTAAAAGGTAGATTCCACAGTCCGAGAGATTCTGTGACGCAGTAGCACACTCACTGTAATTTTTGAAGAAGGTGTTATACAAGACGAATTACTCTCGTAAAGTTTCTTGGCCTTTGCAATCTGTAAGACGAAAGATTTTTTTCTTCAGAATAGCATTGGTACAAGGAATTAGCGGCCGTGAGCAAGAATATCAGGCACCCGTTTTCCGATAATACCACCGAATTAGAATTGCCAATTTTCTTTCTTAACTCGTAGTCTGTGTTCTTTATTGGTTGTAATCAATGGCTCCTATCAGAAGCGCGCTCACTTTTTGGTATCTTCACTATCTGGCGCCGAACCTTTGGCATTTCGGCGACAACTTTACCTGTTAAAGCTCAATGTAAATTGATAACTGTGGCTAATAAAAGGTCCTGCTTATGAATATGAGAGTGACGTTATGACTTCCCTAGGCTAAATTCGTCATAGGCTGTTTACTGGACATAACTGTCGACTCTTATCACGAATATATTCGTCTTTCGATGCGAAAACCGTTTGCAGTAGCGTTGATAAGGCATTCAGGAACCTCTTTTGTAAATATATGACGAAATTAGTGGGAAGGTGTTATGGCGATCGACTGGGACATCTGATCAACGTGAATAACACAGACCTGATCAGTCTGATCACGATGTGAATGAGAAACAAGGTCACCAATATGCTAAGGCACTCCAACTCTTCTGTCCAACCTGGATCTATCGTCCATCGACCGGTACAGGTGATGCCTTTAATAGTTTTAGCCTGCTACTTAACGACTGCACGGTCTTCCTTCGCACTGTGGTTGGCCATGTCTTGAAGTGTTTTCAGGCTGCCATTCCTGCCGGGTGGCAGAATGCAAATGTCATGTTTTATGTTTGTCTGAGACAGATGCGGTGGGTTGACGATACTTGTACCGAGGTCCCATCACAAGTGGAGGTGGAATGGGGTACAGTACCTATCACTCCACTATCACCTCAACTATCACCTTCCTTTGGAAATCCGGCTGATAGAACCACAATGTCTAATAACAACACGTGTATGAATTTATTATGTATGCATAGGGCGGAGGTGGTGTAGTGGCTAGTGGCACACTATCTGGTTACGGGTTCGAATCCCGTATCGATATCCGCCTATGCCAACCGAACGTTCCATCCCTTCAGGGTCGGTTAATTGGTACCAGACTTTTATGGGAGGATAAAAGTGCTGACTTTTACATCGGCTGCCACCGCAGACATTGAATGAATGGGACACATTCAATATGCCTCTATGGTTCTGAATTCAAGTCGAATGCGGGGCGCATCCCCCCAACGGGAAAGATTAACGCCGAAAGACTTTTCCTCTCTTTCTCTCTCTCTCACCCTCTCTCTGTCTCTGCTAGACAACCCTGCCAGAGTAGACGGTCATACAAATGATTGTGGACCAGCTGCTAGCTCACGTTCGGGCAAAACTTCGGTGAAACATGATCGCCTCGCACTTTACCCTCCGGGGAACCTAATGGTCTTTACGCATCACATCTAAGGTGTCCACCTGGCTAACCAACAAATACCAATGTTTTTTCTTTGGTGGCATTACAAATTTATGCGGGCAAGTAAAATACAAAAGGAAATACATAACTACAAATTTCGCCAATGAAATTGTGTTCAGTCGACAGATATTCCAGAGTGACATCATCGGAGGAACGAATTTTCTGAACGGGATCCTATACACTAACCTATAGTAGTTCGGAGGTGAAGATTTAGTTGGGGCAAAGAGCAATGTTCTTTTCCAACGGTGACGCTAGAGCTCAGAGGAGGGGTATTTGACTCTATGTATTATTTAACTTTAGCTCTTAACCAGAGAACTATAGTTTCCACCAATCCTGAGTAGGGGAGGACTACTGGGTGGGTGAGATGATTTCATTTTCCGAAGAGCTGTGATTAGGTAAGAACTGGAAGTTCAACTGATTTACCCAGTGCTTCTTTGCTCCTAAGGCTCATTTGAAAAGATCTAACAAAAACTATTTTTGCTGGTTAAGAAACGTTCCTAAGCACCTTGTAGGCTTAAGAAGTCGGCGGTCCGTTTTTCTCGGTGTTCTAGCCTCAGCGCTGAATGAGCTCCCGTCCACCCCCCTCCCATATCATGGAAGGGTTTTGAACCCTCGGATAGTGTTCTCGCTGTGTCAAGCTTAAAACACCGTACTTTCTAGTGCTAGACCAATCATTAATCGAGAGTTTTTAAACTGACCTGTTAATTGCGCGCTCCAATCACACCTCCCTTTTAACTTTCAACCAACCGCACAGGTGCGGTGAGCGCCAAATTAACCTGACTCTTGAACCCTGAAAGACTGACGCTGTGTAGTCTCGCAAATTATACTCGTTGCCGGAGACCGTTCAGAAAGATCGAACGACCGACCGGTTGCTGGCCACGTTTTGACAACGCAGGACAGATTGCGTTCAGGGCCGCATGAGCGGTATCAATCGGTGAGCGTTGTCAACGCGTGGCCAGCAGCTGTCGTTCGTCGGTTGGAACGTCGCAAGCATTGAATTCCGAAAACATCCAACCTATCCTACCACAGCAAAATTGATAAATAGTGATTCGTTTAAATTCAAATTCTTCACATTTTGAAGGAGTCACCCTGGGAGTGGGGTGATGTTATATTCTATACTCATTTATTTTCAGAAAAAAAGGCTATGCAAAAATCACATCGTTCACCTTCTATAGGCTGAATTCCCCTTCAGAAGATCCCTCTAATCATTTGACGAGTTGACTATGCCTTTCTTTCCTTCAACAATGACTCTCTCACCCTCTTAGGAACGTGATATAATGCTCCTTAATAAACGAAAAACTGCTTTCCCCCTAAGTGAATGTTTGAAGTTATCCGAGTTGACATTTTTCTAATCCTTAAATCGGATTTTTCAAATCTGCCTGTCTAAGCTACGCCCCTTCCCTGATCGATTCCTACCTAATCCTTCCAAATTCTCTGATTCTCCCGTTTTCCGATTCTCCTGCGCACAGCCCCTCATTAGGGAAGGAAGTGACGAAAGGGGCCGGCCATGGACGAGTTCTTGTGTGCAGCCGGCGGACCACAGCAGGTTTACTCTGGAGACTTCTATTTGCTTTCTTTCCCGAAACACCGTCAAGTTGCTTTGAGTGGGGAATATTGTGATTTGTGAACTTACCGCTGTTGAGTTGTGTACATTACCATGCCGTTCTGTTTGATTTCTTTTAAAGAAATGGCCGTTTTGCTCTTTGAATACTTTGTGAGTTCATACACTTTTGGTACCAGTTAGTTTCTTCGTTTTTCCGGAAATTTGTTCGAGGGTCATCTGACATTCCTAAAATCATTTGCCTAAAATTGTCTTTATCTTAAGTTTTAGTAGCGATTGTGTTAAGAATAATGAGGACGAGAGAACCTGGTTCATTCTTTATGAATGAGAATAGAAAGAGACGGTAGTTGTCGTAGAACTTGGGTTGTGGCTTTATTTCAATTGTTTGCTCCTGTTTCTTCTGCTTTACTCATTTCTTTCCAAATCGAAGCGACTGGAAATC